GTTGTTGTTGTTGTTGCTGTTGATGTCATTCCTGTTGATGACGTCGTAGTTGTTGATGACGTCATAGTCGTTGATGTTTCCGCTGCTGTAGTTGTTATTGTTGCTGTTGGTGTTACTGTTGTCGTTGGTGACTTTCGTGTCGTTATTTGTTGCAATGTTGATGTCGGTATTGTTGTTGTTGTTTCTACGGTTATTGATGACGTCATTGTTGATTGTCAATAGATAGTTATTGTTGTTTTTGTATTCATTATTGTTTCTATTTTCGTTGTAGTTGTTGTTGTTGTTTTGCTGCTGAGACAAAGATGGTACTCTAGCTTGTTGGCGGAAAATGTTTGGAGATTGTAGTGGTAGTTGTTGACGTTGTTGTTGTTGATGATGATGATGTTGTTGGTAATGTTGTAGTGGTATTTGTTGTTGTTGAAATTGATTTTGTTGAGGTTGATGTTGTTGATTTTGAGCAAAGTATTGATGAGTTTGTTTGCCGATATCATCAAGGACCCAATTATCATCATTAACGTTGATGTTTTCATTATTGCAATTGCTGTTACTATAATTATTATTATTATTGTTGTTGTTGTTTTTGTTGTTGTTGTTACTGTTATTATTTTCGTTGTTATCTAGGTTCACTTTTGTAACTTTTAAAAATATTTTTGTCTTCTCGTCGATCAGCATGTCTATGAACTCACGCTTCACTTTGCTCAACAGTTTCTCCAAAATTCTGTTTTTCTGTAATTATTATTATTCTAGTTATTATTTATTACTGCTGCTGCTACTACTACTATTACTACTACTACTACTACTATACTACTACTACTACTACTACTACTCTACTACTACTGCTGCTACTACTACTTTTACTACTACTACTACTACTACTACCACTACTAATACTACTACTACTATTACTACTAATACTACTACTAATAGTAATAATAATATGTTTGTTGTTGTTGTTGTTGTTGTTGTTGTTGTTGTTGTTGTTGTTGTTGTTGTTGTTGTTGTTGTTGTTGTTGTTGTTGTTGTTGTTGTTATAATTACCACCATAACCTTTTCCAAATTTTGATTTAATTTATCGGCTTCATTCTTCCTCTGCGTCCATTCATCTTTCACTCTTTCATTCTCTTCCAACTGTTTTTTCAATCTCTCTATCATTTTGTTGTCTGTGTGTGTGTGCATGCGTGCGTGTATAATTATTATTAATTATATTATTATTAATAATTTAATAAAATTTAATTAAAAATCGAATCCAAATCGATTAATAATTAATATTATTATTAAATATATTATTATTAATAATAATAATAATTATTATTATTAATTATTATTATTATATTAATAATAGTAATAACAACTAACTATTTTCCTCGGTTAATTGTTGCGACTTTAAAACTTTCGTACATTCGTTCAGCTTTTCTGAGGTAGCTATTTTTTTTATTCATTCATTCATTTGTTCATTCATTTAATTCTATTTTCTACTATTCAGTCATTTGTTTGTTCGTTCGTTAGTCCGTTCGTTAATTAAATTTTTTTTCAAACAAACATGTCACAAAACGTTCGCTAAACAGAGTAAATAATTAACTTAGAACATTTTCTCATTACAAAAAAGTTTTTTCAGGAAATCAGAATTGAAAATAAAAAGTATATGTATCGTCATCGTCGTCGTCATCATCATCATCGTCGTCATCATCATCAGCGTCATCGTCTTCATCATCATCCTCATAACCTTCTAATTTTAATGTGATGCTTTTAATATTTTCTTCGCATTCGCTTTTCAATTTTTCCATCGAACTTTCAGACATTCTCAAATCATCTCTCAATTTCCGGTTTTCCAGAGAAACTTCTTGAAAACTGTTTTCTACGGCCTGTTTTTCTTTCCTCAAGCTTTCCATAATACTCTCCAACTCTTTTATGTCTTTGGACATCAGTTTTATGTCAACTGTAAATGAGCATTCGTTCATTCATCCATCCATTCATTCATCAATTCATTCATTCCACATTTTTTTCATTTTTCAATAAATCTACCATTCAATCATTTACTCAATCGTCCATTTAGTTAAATCGATCGAATCCAAAAACTGTGAAAAGTGGTTTTTGAATTCCAAAGATATAAAAATATCAAAAAATGTTACCAAAGATAACTAATATTACTTTCATTTTCTTCTAGCAACTTGTTCTTTGCTTCTAACTCGGATTGGACGAATTTTAATTGAACGCTAACGTCATCAATCTCACTTTCGTACGTCAAACAAAGAACCTTCAAATAATCTAATTCGTTTGTTGTTGTGTTTTTGTTGTTTTGTTGTTGTTGTTGTTGTTGTTGTTGCTGCTGCTGCTGTTGTTGTTGGATTGATGAAAATTTCGTTGGGTTGGTTTTGGTTAGGAAGTCTTTTGAGTAGCGGTGAGAAAATATTCTCTTGTCGAAATTGTTGTTGTTGTTTGTGTTGATTTTGTTAATGTTGTTGTTGGCCATAATTGCAGTCTTCAAGTCTTTGTTAACGTTGGTGTTATTAGTGTCATTGTTGTTATTGGCGTTGAAGTTGTTGTTGATGCTGTCGTAATTGTTGTCACCATCGTCAATGTAATAATTGTCGTTGATGTTTTGTATATCTTGTGGTTCGGAAAATTTCACGTATCTTACCTACGGGCGTATGTATTTGTGTGTGTGTATGCGTGCATATGTGTGCATGCGTGTGTGTGTGCGTGTGTGTGCAAATATGAGTCAGTAAATGAAAAAATAAAAATTTATTTAACCTTAAAAGCGCTATTTTTTGTCTTTTGAAAGTCTAAGCGTTTTCTGAAATGGCAAAAATAACATCATCTAATAACATCATGTGTGCTCGTGTGTTTGCGTGTGTGTGTGTGTGTGTGTTTGCGTGTATGTGTGAGTGTGTGTATGTGTGCGTCGTAAACACAATTGTTACATGCGTCGTGTTCTGACGTAATAATAATAAATAATATTAATAGGGAAAAAACCAATAATAACGTCAAAAATTAATAAAAGAACTATAATGAATTGTAATAAATTATATTAAAATATATTATACTATATTAAATTATATTAAATCATAATAAATTACGATTCAGCATTCTTTCCAGATTTGATAACTTGCTCTTGAAGAATTTTGTTCATTTGTTTCTGCTTCTCAACCTCTTCAAGATGCTTCTTCATCAGAATTTCGAAACTAAAAAATTTAATAATAATTATAAAAAATGAATAAATAATAATAATATTATTATTTGTGATTGTAACATTAATAATAATTAAAATCATAATAATAGCAAAACAAGATATTTTGAAAAAATTATATATTCATTATATTATATGCTATAAGCCATAATAACGCTGTTGGCTGGTTACCTTGATTCCATGTTACTGTGGATATTATTATTATTATCGTTATTGTTATTATTATTATCATTATTAATATTATTATTGTTATTATTATCTTCCGAAAGACTTTTTTCCATTTTTTAATTAATACCGATATAAATTGAAAAAGTTGAAAAATGCGAAGAATACTAGTAATGGAGAATGAAAATATATAGATTAAAAATACAACCAAAATGTATAACTTAAAAAAATTATCTTTGAACGCTTCAATTGAACAATTTTAAATTGAATTAAAATTTTTAAAAGTAGATAAAATAAAGTTAATAAAGGTGCTAATTCAGCTTCCTTGGCAACGGATAAAACGTCGACCAGAATAGTTCGATGTGAGAAATTTGAAATTATCCAAACTTTTGCAACATGCCAATTAGAGTATAAAATTGCCAGGCCACCCTGTATTCATTCATTGTGGATCATAAAAATTTTTATGCCTTTGAGCACATTGACCTTATCCTTTCGGGACATTGGTGACCATCAACCTCCACAAAACCCGACCTTTAACACTTTGTAAGAGTTGAAATGTGGTGATATTCAACAAGTGACACGAGGATTTCAGGAATGTTATTCGTTGTTGGTCGTGATCTCTTTTTCCTGCAATCTTTCCGATAGTTGTTAAATTTTCCATTCTTTCCTTCTGCATGATGTGTGTGACAAAAAAACTTTAACTGCCCCCGTCGGATTCCCTTTAGTAATTTCCTCTTTTCATATCAACAGCGTTAATCTTTTTTCCATTTTTTTAGAAATTTTCCAGGACTCAGGGCCGTAAATTAGCTTTGTTCTTATCTTACCTACTTTCAATTGGCTCAGCTCAGTTCCTATCTTACCTAAATTGGCTCAGCTCAGTTTCTATCTTACCTACGTTCAATTGGCTCAGCTCAGTTTCTAACTTACCTATGTTCAATTGGCTCAGCTCAGTTCCTAACTTACCTATGTTCAATTGGCTCAGCTCAGTTCCTAACTTACCTATGTTCAATTGGCTCAGCTCAGTTTCTAACTTACCTATGTTCAGTTGGCTCAGCTCAGTCTCTAATTTACCTATGGTCGATTGGCTCAGCTCAATCCCTATCCTACCTATGTTGTTTAACCATCCTGCGCTAACAGAAGCAGAGAATGTAAGAAAAAACAATGAACCAGCTTTGCAGCAGCGTAATGAATTAAAATGGAAGAATACTTATTTTTAAATGTCAAGGTCAGTTCCTTCCTTTGGTGTACTGTTAGATCATGATCGTCATGTATGTGCAAATGTGTGTGTGTGTGTGTGTGTCGGTGTTCATGCATGTGTGCATATGTTTGCCTGTGCGTGTAAGTATAAGTAATGTAAGTAGGTGGGTGTAAGTATACGAACTCGTTGAATAAGTATTAATACTGCATTGATACTAAGCAATCAACCAACCACCCATCTAACCAACCATTAATAAATCAGTCAGTCAGTCTGTGTGCATTTGATATTTGGTAAAATTTATTAATATAGGAATCGAATATAACCTTTATACCGGCTAATTCACTACTATACAGTTAAATAACTACTGCTAGCATGACGTCATTTCCTCCAACGATTTCATAAGAAATTATCCATCCCATTTAAAAAAACATCGTAGTTTGTAGTAGTTTGAATTATTAAATTTGAATTATTATAAATAATTATTATAATTAATTATTATAACTAATCAGAATTATTATTATAATTAACATTATTTGAATTCATAACAAATTATCCATCCCATTTTAAAAAACATCGTAGTTTGTAGTAAGTGTATGTATGTAAAGTTTGAAAGTACTTTTACAAAATTTAAACGAAAGAAATAACGAAAAAGAAAACATCAATTTTTTTCAATATTTATTTCAATTTTTTGGCTTTAATAATATATTTTATTAAACTTCAAAATAAAATAATAATATTAATATTATTATTATTGTTATTATTATTTTTATTAAAAATAACAAAAAGTCAAACGAATGATAATAAATAAAAATTTGCGTTGTTGTATAATAAATAGTTGATAAATAATTTAATATACAGAAGACATATATTCTATCATTCGTTCATTGATTGATTGATTGATTGATTGATTTATCTATTTATTCATTCATTCATTCACTCCTTCACTCATTGATTCATTCATCCATTTATTTATTCAGTGATTCATCCATTTCAAACCAACATTCAGTCAATAAGCTACTAGCAGTTAAATATTTAAATTCAATGAAACACAAGCATTAGTCACTTTCAAATATAAAAACATCAATCAATCAATCAATCAATCAATCAATCAATCAATCAATCAATCAATCAATCAATCAATCAATCAATCAATCAATCAATCAATCAATCAATCAATCAATCAATCAATCAATCAATCAATCAATCAATCAATCAACCAATCAATCAATCAACTAATCAACTAATCAATCCATCAATCAGCCACTCAATTATATCTTAATTGGTATCCCATCATTTCCAATCTGGGATTTCAAACATGGCATGAACATTTAGTGTCGTTGGTTCAGCTGACACTGATGACGTAATCAGTGACGTTATTAGTGGTGGCGGGGGTGCTAAGGATGTTGTTGTTGTTGATGGTTTTGTCGCCATTACCACAGCAGTCGTTTTGTTTAAAGTAGTAGTCGACGATGATGACGTCACTGCAGTCATTTTGATCCTCTTCTTTGCGTTAACTTTTTTACTGATTGAAGCAAATGAAAAGTTCGTCATATTGTGCATCAGATGTGATGAAAAAATCACGAAACAAAGAAATAAAGAGGAAGCCAGCAATCAATCAATCAATCAATCAATCAATCAATCAATCAATCAATCAATCAATCAATCAATCAATCAATCAATCAATCGATCAATCGATCAATAGATCGATCAATCAAACAATCAATCAATCAATCAACCAACCAACCCATTAAAATGATCAACATTAAACTTCCTCTTGAAGGCGCTTCCGACTTGAACCTCGTCATTTCCCGCCACTTTTAATTTATTATTATTATCATTATTATTATTATTTTTATTTTTAACGCTACTGTTGTACCAGTCAGCGTAGGACTGCAAGCGGAACCACTGGCTTCTACAGGCTGCAAGCTGTTTCTTCACTTTTTTTTTATTGAAAATAAAAAGAATGAATTGATGAAAAAAATTATATTGATGAATTAACAAAAACAATAATAATATAACTAATAACCAATTACCTAATTAATTAATTACTCAAAAAAAAGCAATTAATATAGATTAGTGACTGCCACAAAACACGGCGTCTGTCGCCCACAAAATGACTTCCCGAGTCACAAAAACGCTCGAGAGCAAGCCACTTTCCAATAACATCCAAAAACAAACCAACCATTAACTGACTGCTCCTTGTCGTTAAGGCTGATGAGAGCTGATTGGTCGTCTATCAGACTGACAAGCACGCTGCCTAATTGTAATAAATTAACATATCTGCATATAATTAACATTACCTAATTATAATAAATTAACGTATCTGCGTGTTAATTAATATTGCCTAATTATAATAAATTAACATATCTGCATATTAATTAACATTGCCTAATTATAATAAATTAACATATCTGCATATTAATTAATGCTGTCTAATAATATTAAATTAACATGTATGCATATTAAATAACGTATTAATTAACTTTTTCTTTCTGTATATTAACTTGTGTATAACAGTCGATAGATAACAAAAATAATACAAGCAATAATAATAATAATAATAATTATATAAATAATAATAATAATAAAATAATAATTTTTTTAACCAAATGGTTGGAAGAGATTCTGCAGATCAGTTTTCTTCTTATTTTTGTGGAATTCTACGTGAAACATGTGCTCCCTACACAGTGGCACTTTTAATGGTTGGTTGTGTGATTGGTTGGTTGATCGATCGATTGATTGATTGATTAATTGATTGGTTGGTTGATTGATTGATTAGTTAGTTGTCTGATTGATCGATTGAAGGTCTGATTGATTGAATGATCAAATAATAATTAGTTGATTGATTGTGTGATTAGTTGATTCATTAGTTAATTAAATTAGTAAATTAGTGAATGAATAGATGAATGAATGAATGAATGAATGTATGGATGAATGGATGGATGAATCAACTATCCAACCAACCAACCAACCAACCAGCCAACCAGTGAACCAGCTAACTTACAATCAACTCCGACGAGGTTTATGTAGGGCACATCAACTATTCGCATGAGGTACAGCTTGTTCTCGTAAGTTCCTATCTTATCGTCAATCGTTAGGTTCATCTCTATGCTATCTGTCAATCAATCAATCATTCAATCAATCATTCAATCAATCATTCAATCAATCAATCAACCAACCAATCAATCATGAAACCAAGACAAAGTTTTTCAATCAAAAGATAATATCAGAAAAAATTGGTCAAAAAATATAAAAATATTGGTCTATCAACCAATCAACCAACTAGTCAACCAACCAGTCAACCAATCAATCAGCCATTCGGCCAACCAATCAACAAACCAACCGATGTAGGCATACATGTGTAAGAAACACAAGCCAGTGACATAAGCATCGTACGACGCGTCATGGTAATTTGTTGACTTCTCAAAGTTTGGATACTGCTCTGGGACTCTGGAATGATTAGTTGATTGATTGATTGATTGATGAACGGATAGATTGATTGATTGATTGATTAACTAATTAATCATTTGGTTGAACAACTGAGTGATCGAACAGCTGGTTAATTGATTGTTTGATAGACTGAGTGATTGATTGGTTGACTGGTTGATTGATTGACTGAAACTCTAACCAATTGAAACTTTGGGAATTTTCGATGAGGCTTTGAGATCCGTGTACAAACTTTCCAGACTGCTATTTGAGCTGACGGTCTGATGAAATATGAATTTTAAAATAATAAATTTAATAATAAACCAATAGATCAATCAATAATTAATCAATCAGTCAATCAATCAATCAATCTATTAATCAATCAATCTATTAATTAATCAATTTTTAGTCAATCATTCAATCAATCCATTAATTAATCAATTTTTATTCAATCATTCAATCAATCAGCCAACCAATCAGCAAACCTTGAAAAATGATGTTGATGCCATGTACTTGGTGTCTAGAAGTCTGGATATAACAACAACAACAACAACAACAACAATAATAATAATAATAATAATAATAATAATAATAATAATAATAATAATATTGCTATAACAATAATAATAATCATCACCATCATCACAATCATCATCACAATCATCATCATCATCACAATCATCATCACAATCATCACAATCATCATCACAATCATCATCACAATCATCAATCATCATCATCACAATCATCAATCATCATCATCACAATCATCAATCATCATCATCATCATCATCACAATCATCAATCATCATCATCATCATCATCACAATCATCAATCATCATCATCATCATCACAATCATCAATCATCATCATCATCATCACAATCATCATCATCATCACCACAATCATCAATCATCATCATCAATCATCATCATCACAATCATCATCTTACCTAGGAAAGAGTAGGTGAGTGAGAGTTTTAAATGATTCATACTCCTGTATGGTTATTATTATTATTATTATTATCATTATTATTATTATTGTTTTTGTTGTTGTTACTAAAAATACCAACCAATGGCAGATCGACCCAGAACTGACCAATGATATGCATGACATCCAGCAACATGTTGTGGCCTATTATTAGCTTATCCTAGAAAAATAATCATCATCATCATCGTCATCATCCCCTTCATCATCATCATTATCATCATTATTATCATCATCATCATCATCATCATCATCATTATTATTACTATTATTATTATTATTATTATTATTATTATTATTATTATTATTATTATTATTATTATTATTATTACTACTACTACTACTAATACTATACTGCTTACTGATTGATGGAGTAACTTGATGACTTTTGTGAAGCCGACAGCTTTGGTCAACTCGTCCTGGAAATTATTATTATTATTATTACTATAATAATAATAATAATAATTATTATTATTATTATTACTATAATAATAATAATAATAATTATTATTATTATTATTATTATTATTACATTAAACTGTTAAACAACAAAATGACAAACAAACATGGACAGAACGTATGTATAAAACAACACAGTCAACAACACAATCAACAACTCAGACAACAACACAGACAACAACACAGTCAACAACACAGACAACAACACAGACAACAACACAGACAACAACACAGTCAACGACACAGAAAACAACACAGAAAACAACACAGACAACAACACAGACAAGTGAGCAACTACAACAACGACAACAAAATAGACAAAAAATCGATATCACATAGACAAAGAATAAACAAAACATAGAGAAAAAAGGCACAGCCAACAACACAGAATGCCTCACATATTCGGCCTTTTGTTTCTTCATCTCGAGACACTTCCGGTGCTCAGCATTTTGAATCTTGACCACTTTCAAGCAACCAGAGCTGCTACCCTGACCTCTATGCGCTATCGTCTCTAGATACAGACGATCCGGGAATCTGGAATAATGTTTTAATTTTTATTATTAATTGTAGTGGTAGTAGTGGTAGTAGTAGTAGTAGTAGTAGTAGTAGTAGTAGTAGTAGTAGTAGTAGTAGTAGTAGTGGTGGTGGTGGTGTTGGTAGTAGTTAGTAGCAGTATTAGTAGTAATAGTAATAGTAGTAGTAGCAGCAGCAGAAGCAGTAGTAGTAATTTTAACATTTTTGTTGTTACATCTCAAAACCCAATAGCCCAGATGGTAGGGCGGTTGCATTTAATCAAGCATAACTTGAATGAAAACGATCTAGTTCGTATGAAGACTTTGCTGAATAGAAACTACTTAAACTATCATGCTTTGAACACTCATACGCGCATACACACAAACAAACAAACACACGAACAGGCAAACAAACACACGCACAAACACACATACACGCAAATAAATAAACAAACAAACACACGCACACACGCAAACAAACAAACACACGCACCGCAAGTTCAGTTGTTCGTAGAGCAACTTTCTGGAGAACGCGCTGCATGGCTCTAAGGTCATCCACTCATCAGCAAAGAATGACGATGATGTTGATGACGTCACCGATGATGACGACGGTGACGTCACTGGTGACGTCAATTGCAACGATGACGACGACGTGGCCGACAGAAATGACTCCACGCTTTTCCTGCAGAAGATGACGACGATGGCGTCAATGGTGACGGTGAGGAAAATTAGGAAGAAGGCAGTGACAATAAAGAATTATGATCAATCAATCAATCAATCAATCAACCAACCAACCAATCAATCAACCAACCAATCAATCAATCAACCAACCAACCAATCAATCAATCAACCAACCAATCAATCAATCACCCATCTAATAAAACGAAGTAGAACGAACAATTGTCTATCAATAAAACTTTGCTGTAGCACGGGAACGGCTGTTAACGACTGTGGCGTTGACGGTGGCGACAACAAATTATTGCCTCTACTAGTCAACGATTGGCTGTGTTGTTGCGGGGTGCTGTTGTTCTTGTTGTTGTTCTCGTATTTCATGGCCAGCGTTTCAAGAAGTTTTTTCTCGTTTTCAAACGATATGTAGGAAACACCTGAGAAAAATATATCATTTTTTTTATTCAATCTATCATTCATTCATTCACTCACTCATTTATTCATTTTTTCATTAATTTTTTCATTCATTCATTCATTTGTTCGTTCGATCGTTCATTTAACCTTCAACAAACATTACCGATTATGAAGTCTGCAAAGGTTTGTTCAGTCACCGAATCACCCATTCATTCCTTCACTCAAGTGAATGATTGCAATTTCGGTCATTCTTTCATTCATATTCATTCATTTATTTGATCGTTTATTCATTCACTCACTTTCATTCATTCAATAATTTTCTGCTGATTGCTCCTTCATTTGTCATTCCTACATTCGTTCACTCACTCATTCATTCACTCATTCATTCACTCATTCATCCAATTCTACATTCATTCTTTCACTCATTTCCTCACTCCTATATTCATTCATTCAGTCGCTCACTCATTCACAAACTCAAAAAGCACCTTTATTTATAACTTTCCCAAAATCCATGCCTCTTGATACCAGAAAGCTCAGCGAGGAACTCTGAATGATAAAATGATTGTGATATAATTATAATTAATTAAAATTATGGTCATAATTATAATTACAATTCTAATACAATCATAATCATAAACAACATCATCACAGTCACCATCATTAGCATCACTTTCATCATCATCATCACCATTATCACGATCACCCCCACAAGCATCACCATCATCACTATCATCATTACAGTCACCACCATCACTGCAATCATCATCATCATCACCATAATCATCACCATCATCATCACCACTATCATCATCATCACAACCTGGCAAGAGAAAACAACGTCCGGTAGCAATTTGGAAGATTGAGGAAATAGATAGAAGCTATAGGACTCTACCTCGTATCTATATAATATGAAAAATTATTCACACACACACGCACGCACACAGGCACATATCATTATAATAATGATAACAAAAATATCCTCATCATTATCATTATCCTAAGAAAGCTCAAATTAGTAAGTAAGTCACTAACTCATATTTTTCAGACTTTTTAATGAAAGCACTTATTCCAAACTGTATTATTAGGAATTCTTTGGCCGGCTAAATAATAATAACAATAACAATAATAATAATATTATTATAATAATAATAAAAATAACCTTTAATAATTTCTTGTATCTTTCCTCGGGTGTATCAAAACTGGTGATGTAATCATGGCTGCCATCATCCAAGCCTAAAATTAGTGAAAGAACCAGTGAAACAAACGCTATGTTGCTAATGTCGATTTTCAATAACAGATGGGGCTTTAACAGTTTAAGTAAAATATATCGATGTAGAATTTAGTTAGTAATCAGGTAGTGCTATTCATGGTACTGTAAAATCATAATATGCCAATATTATATGGTTATTTTTATTTGTACTAACTGAAATACATGCCCATCAATAGTAACTAGTAACTAATTAATAGACTACTTACTACAATTTAGTAATTAATAGTTTAATATTAATTAATAATTAAATATTAATTAATTAATTAAACATAACCAGGCATGGCAAAAAAAACATACCAGTAAATTCAGTGTCAATTGTAATGAATGATGCACGTTCAATGGAACTTTTGATCAGATTGAAATCATTTTCAAAGTCTAAAATTATTAAAATTTACTAATTAAAATAATTAAATTAGTTATTTAAATTAAAAAAACGAAAACAGCATGATTCTCTGCTAAAACTAAAATAAAAAATAAAGAAAAATTAAAAGAGAAAATGCCAAAATCTTACTCTCTCGAGTGATCTCCATTTTATAATATTATTTCAACAAACCTAATTAAAATTGTTTAAAAAATAAATAATTTGAAAAATAACTGATATTAAAATAATTAATTACTCAAATTGGAAAGAATTTCATAACAAAAATCGTTTTAAAAGTAAACAAACGAGTGTACAGTGTGAGCGGAGTGTACAACTAAACACCAAAATACTGTTTATGAGTCTGGCTGGTTGGCTGAAACCATATAATTAGAATAATGAAACTAACCAATGTGTATATATGGTTGCCGTATTGCCGTTACGTTTCGTATAAGATTACTGTTAGAAATATTGAAAAGCTTAATCGTAAACTTTCAAAAGTTAAAAATTCTGTGGATTTTATCAAATATTGCATCAATTATTTTCTTTTTGCAGCCTATATATATATATATATATATATATATATAGAGCCTATATATATATATATATATAGGCAAGGCTACTGCTTAAATATATATATATATATATATATATATATATATATATATATATATATATATACATATATACACATACATACATACATATATATATATATATATGCAATTATAAATATAGGCTATTATTAGTACTACGGTTTTTCCTCATGGAGTTTTCTCTGAGCACAGTCAAATAACGATTGAAGCAGTAGCCTTGCCAAACCACGTCGTATAACAACACAACGATTGTTAGATCATGGAAAAATATTGATGAAGATAGATTTGTTGAAGCAGTTTTAAATTGTCCACTGTCTGGTTCTTGTCAGAGCAATGATGTCGATGTTGAGTTAAAAATTTCCAATAATGAGTTAAAGACATTAACAGGCTGGTGCCTATAAAAGGGTGACCCTTGACAGAGGTGAGCGGGCGGCTCCATGGTTTGATGAATCAATCAATCAATCAATCAATCAATCAATCAATTAGCTTATAAAGCGCTATTTCCGCGATGTTCAACAGCGCTCCTCAATGAATTTTGAAAACAGATGGGTCTTGAGATCCGCTCTGAACTTCGCAAGTGATGGAGAAATAGTTAGAGAAGTAGGTAGAGAGTTCCAGAGAAAAGGACCAGAAAAAGCAAAAGCAGATTTGGCAAAAGAGTGTTTAACACGAGTTAAGAAAAAGCGAGAAGAAGAAGACGATCGTAAACCGGGGCGTTTAGGTTCAATTAATATATCTGATAAGTACTTAGGAAATAATTTAGATTGAGACTTATACATGAACGTGCAAATTTTAAAAATTATTCTATATTTTATAGGTAGCCAGTGCAAGAGAACAAGATATGGAGATATATGAGAAAAGAAAGGGGCACGAGCAACTAGACGAGCAGCAGAGTTAAAAGCTTTACTGAAAGGATAGAGTATAGAGTCAGGAAGACCATAGTAGAGCGAGTTACAATAATCAATCCTAGATAAGACTAACGAAGTAACAAGAAGGAGAAGAGTAGGATCATCAAGAAAAGGCAAAAGTTTTTTTATTCTACGTAGATGAAAGTAAGAACTTCTAGCAACACTATTAATCTGAGAAGAGAGAGACATAGTAGAATCAAAGATAAAACCTAGACTACGAAACTTATGAGAGACATCAAGAGTTTTAGAATCAGGTAAGATAATAGGAGGAATAGTAATTGAGTGTTTAGATTTATTAAAACAAATTAATTCAAACTTAGAAGGATTAAGTTTAAGACACATAGAATCAGACCAAGCGATAATCGAAGAAAGACATAGAGATAAATTATGAAGAACACTATTGAGATTAGATGGAGGAAAAGAAGTATAAATATAAGAATCATCAGCATATAGTTGACTAGAGAAAGAAAAGTTATTAATAATACGAGGTAGTTCAGAAGTATAGAGTATAAATAGAAGAGGGCCAAGGATAGAACCCTGAGGTACCCCGAAAGTAAGAGTAGAGGAGTTAGAAGTAGAATTATTGAGAACAACAGAAGAAAAACGATTACAGAGATAAGAAGAAAACCAAGATAGACAAGAATCAGTAATATTAAAAGAAAGATGCAGCAGTCTCAAGAGAATAGTATGGTCAACAGTATCAAAAGCTGAAGAAAAGTCAAGAGCAAGAAGAAGAGTAAGATTACTATTGTCACTAGAGAGAAGGATATCATTGTGTATTTTAAGTAAAGAAGTTTCAGTACTGTGAGCAGGTCTGAAACCAGATTGAGATACAGGTAGCAAAGAGTTAAAGTCTAAATAGGATGAGAGTTGATTAAAAACAACTTTTTCTATTATTTTAGAGTATTTATGAAGACTGCTTGCGCGCCAAACGATGATGTAGAAAGATGGAACGACTATACAGAAGACATTCAACGGATATAAATAGAAATTAATGGATTATCTCGCTAAATATTAAAAATGGTCTTTTTTCTGACAGGCGTACATGGTATTGGAATAATTTAATAAAGTTAAACAATGGGTCCAGAAATTGATAGCAAATTGTAAACAAAAAGTATTTTAAGCCAGATTAAATATAGATATTTTGTTAATTTAAGTATAAGAACTTAACACATACATGTATAGGTGTGTATGTGTGTTTAAAAGCAGTGTTTGGGTAAGAATTGGAATAAAACTACTCAGATCGTTTCTATTTAAATACACTCAACTCTAATCATTTTTAGTTACAAACAAAATTATTATTCGTTTTTAAAAACAATTTTATAAATTTAACAATTTTTTATCGTAATATTCACAAAAATTTTTAAATTTTAATATAAGAAAACAATTGTAATGTCTAACGAAGGCTTAAATTAATAGACATCGAAAAGTTTCGCTATTAGTGACACCTAAAGATGCTCTATGATGTCGTTGGATTAAAATGAATTATTTCTCCTATTTATATCCCGTTTATTGCGTTTAATATGCGCCTAATTCGGTTTTTATTTCTCAAAATTTTCGGAGTATTAACCCATAAATCTATTTTTTTAATTTAAAATTATTTTTATCATCGTTGTTTATTTCTTGAATGATAGCTACGCGCAGATAAAATGTATGTATTGATCGATATGCTAATTTAGTTTTTTGATGTTTGGTTTACCTACTGTGTACGTAAGAAGAACTAATTTGTCCTAATTCGGTCCTAATCAATCGAAAATTAGTGTCGCAGTTGTAATGGTGTATGTTTCGATTTTATCTTTTTTTCTGTACAACAAATCCATTCTTAATATTTTTGTTTACTTTAAATTTTAATTTAATTAATTTAATTTTAATTTAATATTCAATCTTTAATCAATTTTTTAATCCAATGGCTTGATTGAAAATTGAAATTTTTTATATTTATTTTATTATAATTAACTGATTAAATAAATTTTTTTTAGCTGGAATCATCTGATTCCAATTAATTAATGTAACAGAAAACTAGTTCAGCAGATATATAATTTTCAGTATTATCATTTTGATTTTCTTTGGATTTGTTTGAGAAAATTCTGCCAGATAATCAGATTCACTAAATCATGTACAAGAAACGGCACAATATAGGTAAAAGACGAGCTTCAACGTCAGTGCATTCATACAAGGAATCAGAAATTGCTGTATTATATGATGACAACTACTTCAGCAATTTCAAATATAGCATGTCGTTTGGTGGGGGGCGCAAATCAGATCAGTTGAGTGAGCCAACTTCACATAGCTCATGCAGTCCTAACTCTAGTCAGTCAACACACCTTAGAAAACCGACTCCGAAAAAAGAATCTTTTGCCAAAAATAAAACTAGTCTAGCCATTAAAAACATCAAGAAACCTGTAAAAGTTAGAAAAAAGAAAGGTTCTGGAGATCAATTAGTTATAAAGGAAAATTTACAATGTGAGAGAGTTAGAAGGACAGCCAGCTTGAATGCTGGGGCCATCTTGAATGCCATGCTAGATAAGGATGAAACCACTGCTAAGAAACAAAAATTATCAGATAAGAAACTAGGTGGTGTAGCTGACACTTCACTAACATCAAGTACTGAGACTATACCAATGTTAAATGGTAGTAATGAAATTACTACTAGCACCACTAATACTATCCATACTCCCAACAGTGCTTCAAAAAGTTCCCCAATTAAATCAAATGAAAAGAATAAAAAGTTTGCTGATGTCAGTTGTAGTCCAATTGTTTTTGAAAGTCGTCAGACAACATCCTCATCACTATCGAAAAAGTTAGTGAAAGTTAGTGAAAGTAAGGTTAGAGCCAAAAGAATTGTTAATAAAAAAATTAATTATGAAGATGATGATGATGATGAGGACAGTAATGATAAAGTTGGTGATAATGGTATGGTTTGTGTACTTCGACCTGATGTTTTGTCTACTCATCTAGTTCCCAGCAAAAATTTTACACCATCTCAGAAGAAATGCATTGGTGAGAATTCAATCACTTTGAGTAAGGTTGAAAAAGTGAAGAAAAATCTCTTCAATTCATCCTCAATTTCAACAACGGCAATGACATCTGTCGTAAAAACGTCAAACGAAGCCAGACTTAAACGAAAAATGTTATTGTCCTCATCTTCGTGTTCCTCCTTGTCGTCGTCACCATCATCTTCATCATCAACTATATCATTGTCTGCCTCATCTCAGACCACAGAGGATGCAAAAAATGCCAATAAGCCTCCAATGTCTAAAACAAACTACTCCACCACTTCATCTGGCAACAGTATCCAATCAACTACAAGGGTAAACTCCGTCAAGTCGATTAGAAATATCAAATGCGTTACTAAATCCAAGAGGCCAGTCATAGATAAGAGCAAGGTACCAAAGGTTTCAACATCAGGAGCCATCAAAAAAACATCTACACGTGTGGCTAGTTTGAAGGCTCAAGTCATATTAGCTGCATATTCAGCAGATCAAAAGAGGATACCAAGAGTCAGTCCAAAGTTAAAAGGTTCTAAAAATAAATCAACAATTGATCGTGCACCTGAGAAACGACACGAGGCAAACGTCTGCCCTCTGAATTCTACTCAGCCATCTACATCATTACCAGTTCAAATATCACTATCATTGGCAGGGCTATCACAGTTCTTACCAGCAATTGATAGTAATGTTCAGTCCATTTTAAATTTGTCATCGTCATCCACTTCTGATCTTTCCTTCCATCCTTCCACTAATTTTCCACCCAACTTTATCAATGTTAGCAAACAGGGTAACAACACAAGCACTGCTACTGCCAGTGAGTCGGTGACTAGATCACCATATACATCACAACCTTCATCATCTTTATCATCATCATCCGTAGCAACTTCATGTTCTAATAAACCTTCGAAATCAAATGGTCGCAAGCAGTTCACAAAAATAACACCTTGGAAAAACCAGAGCGCATTAACAACAAATTCTCCACCAAACAACAACAGCAGTAGCAATAAAACAGCAACTACATATCAGGTAATCCTTCCATCACAGCATCAGAACGCCACAATGGCAGCAGCAGCAACAACAACAACTGCATCAACTTCAAAAACTAACGCACCGTCATCATCTAAATTGCATAGACGCCAACAACAGCAGCAACAAAACCAGTCACCAAAACAACAACAACAGCAGCAGCAACTAACAGCTGGTAAAGCTACAGCAGCTGTAGTTGCTACAATTTTTCCCCACGTTCCAGGACAAATTTGTTTTGCCAGACCCTCTTCATTTCAAGGGCCTCATCTGAACCCATCAAACTCAACACCATCATCTTTATTATCTTCATCATCTCCACCCATGTTACATCAATCTCAAAACGTACTCCACCACCCTCACCAACAACAAATTGTACCCCATGGGAGTGGATTTCCGTCATTTCCGTACATTCAAGACGCTAGGTTTGCCTACCCCAGCACAAACATGTTCGCATACAACAGCAGTAACCAAGGCAACAACAACAGCAGCAGCAACAACAACAACATGAACAATCGTGGTGTTATTGATCAATCCAAGATCAACATCGTTCCCGGCGGTCACCTCCAACAACCGTCTTTGAATTCCTACCAACTTCACGCACAGAATCCAACGCAGACAATTCTCTTCAGCTCTTCCACTCAGCAGCAGCAGCCACATTTTAGCCTGCAGCCTCCCTCACTACAGTACAATAATCAACAGCAGCAGCATTTCTACAGGCAGTACTCCATGGGATCTGCCATATTTCCAACTGTGTCATTCTCACCTGGAAAGATGTCATTCAGTCAACCCTTCCACAACATCTCTACACAGTATTTTTTGCCATATAACTCCAACCATGAAGCTAGTAACAATACAAGTATTAATAATAGTAGTATCAGTAACATCGATGATGGTGGGGATGATAAAGCTGTGAAAATGTTGAGCCCTATGTTACCCCGACTACATCAGCAGCAACAATCATTGTTAGTTCGCGGTAAGAATATACAACCGAAGCAAGTACCGCAACAGCAGCAACAACAACAACAGTTACATTATAATCCACAACAATTACATCAACTGCAACATCAACAACTTTCACATCAACAACAGTTACATCAACAACAACAGCAGTTACAACAATTTAGCAATAGCAGTACTAATGTGGTTGTCCAGGCTTTACATGATAGACCAAGTGGAAAACCACAACCCAACAGAAAACGCACCTCTGGCACTGGAATCAAAAGAAAGGCCAAGGTATCAAAACTTGACAACGTTAAAGATAACAAAACCGCTAACAGGAAGAACAGCAAGAACAGCAAAAACATGAACATTGCTGATAACACCAAAGTTAACAATGCTAAAATCAACATGGATGACATCAATAATGCTGACAACAATGACAGTTTTGATGACAGCAACACAATCACCACCACAACAACGACATCAGATAGTGACAACAACAACAACAGCAAACAAAACTTAACTACAACTACTGCTACTAATACTGCAAAAGCATATGATGAGCAGCAAGTTGTTAAAGACCTTACTGCAAAGTTTGATGCAAAGACATCCTCTGAGAAGCATCATTATGATGATGAAAAGGTTGATGATAGCGGTGATAAGAAAGATCTTATGGCAAATGTTAATGGTAGCAAAGTTTCAATGCCTGTAAAGCAGAAAGTCATGGACAAGGCTTTTAATAAGGTTTTATTTTTAACTTTTTTTAACAGACAAATAAACACATATCCTTCTCTCTCTCTCTCTCTCTCTCTCTCTCTCTCTCTCTCTCTCTCTCTCTCTTTCTGTCTCTCCTCTCTCTCTCTCTCTCTATTTTTAGCTTTCGTTTCTAAGATTTTGTTTGTTTCAAAGTAGTATTATGATAATATAATTAAGGTGATGATAAGAATGATGATAATTTAATTGTATTAAGTGATAGAAATTGTGATGTAGATGGTGATGTAGATTTTAAACAGTGAACTTAATTAATTCATGGCAACTGACAATTCTAATTCCAATGACTAAAAACTTATCACAGATGACAATCCTTTATTATAACTGCACTAACACTTAATGATAGACTATTATTTTGTCATAATTTATCATGAAATGAATGAGTAACCATCCAATTTCCAATTGATTCTCATAAAATTTTGATAAACATTTACTGATAAATGAATGCACACATATATACATATACAAGCACATACCCATCACTCTTTCTCTCTCTCCTCTCTCTCTCTCTCTCTCTCTCTCTCTCTCTCTCTCTCCCTCTCTCCCTCTGTGTGTGTGTGTGTGCGTGCGTGCGCGCGCGTGTGTGTGTGTTTGTCAAAATTATGATGTTAAAAAATGAAGTATGGTGTTAATTATTGACTAGGATGATAATGATTTTAAATCATTTCAGATTCACTCATCAACCCATATGAATAGACCATCAACGTCATCTTCATCATTATCTACCATTGTCAACAATAATAATAATGATGATGATGATGATAAGAGTAAGATAGACAATACTAACAAAAACAGTGTAAGTGCCATTAGCAATAATGGCTTTGATACTAAATCTGCTAAAGAGGGTGATATGCTTAAAGATAACCCAAAAAATATTGCTTATATCAATAGTTCTAATTATAATTTCATTGATAAAAATTATAATAATGATAATAATAATAATAATAGCAGTAGTAGTAGTTGTTGTAGTAATAGTAATAGTCTTAATAGCTGTAGCATTAACTTCCATGATGCTAATGTTTTAAAGACAAAAAGAAGAAAGACATCTACAATTGCAGCCAACAATAACAACAATAATGATGATGGTAATGATAAAATCATATCAACTATCTCAACAACTACAATGTCGTCATCATCATCAGCAGCAGCATCATCATCAGCAGCTGCAGCAGCAAAAGCAGCTGACTCAATGGCTGTTGCTGCAACCACAATAACAGAATTAATAGCAGCTACAACGTTGTTGCAAATGTCAGCCATGGCATCCACACCTGCTACGACAACGCCAGCAACAACAACAACAACATTAAATAATGATCTGTTGCAGCAGCAGCTAGAGGTCAGAAATTCAGATTCGATTGATGTCTCGAAGGTTAAAAACAACGTTGATTTCAATGACATCAACAATAACAACAATAATGAAGGATTCGTTAAACCACTGAATAGAAAGAAAAAATGTAATAAAGATAGTAACATTAGTAACAGCAACAACAACAACAACAACAAAAACATTATCATCCTTAACAACAAAATAAAGAAGACCATAAAAAGAAAGAGACAGCCATCATCAGCAGCAGCAGCGGTACCGTTATCATCATCAACATCATCAGTTCTACCATCATCACCAACGTTATCATCATCATCGTTGTTGTTGTTTAGAAACGCCAAATCGTCCCAAGGACAAAAGTCAAATATCTTAAATACTAAAAAGAATAAAAATAAGAGAGCTAATAACAACAATGTTGACAACAGCAACGATAAAAATAACAACAACAAAACCAAAAAAACTGTAAAAAGCAAATATAACAACAACCCAAACGACAGCAATAACATTGCTAACGTCAACAACAATAACAACAACAACATCAACAATGCTGCTTACAGCAATGGCAACAACAACAACAGCAGTTGCAACAGCAAATCTAGTTCCATTACATTAAAGGTGTCCTCTGCAGCTACCAACAGCAGTAGTAGCAGTAGTAGTAGCAGCAGTAGCAACAATAATATAGCAAGTGTAGTTGAGCATGTAAAACCTAGCTGGTTTTGGTTAGGAGTTCCATTTGTTAAAACAGTTTACGTCCAGGTTTGTCTTTGTTTCTTTTTTGTGTGTTTTTTTTAGCTCTCCCTATTTTTTCCATCATCATTCTTATCATTTTCGTTATCATTGTCATCATTATGGTAGGCGTTATCATCTTTGCTATCACTAATTATCATCTTGGGAATCATTCTCAGATGTACTTTCAATTTTATCTGTATCATTTTCGTGTCAGCCAGTCAGTCATTCGTGTATCATTAGTGATTGCTATCACATTGTCATCATTTTCTCTTACCATTGTGTTATCGTATATCATTATTATTATTATCATCTTTCATCATATTAATGACTTCATCATCGTCGTCGTCGTCGTGAACAGACGGACGGAACCCACGTTAGGAGGAAGTGCTATCCATCCATTCAGCATTGCACAGGTTAGGAAGATGACGACGATGACGATGATGATGATGATGACGATGACAATGGTGATTATGATTGTATGATTGTGATGATGGCGATGATAATTATGATGTGATTATTGTGATGATGATTATGATGACGATTTTGATGATGATGATGACTATGAATGTGCCGAATATGACCTATTATAATGATGATGATGATGATGTCTGTATGGTTAATTACTATGGTGGTATCTGCAACAGATAACTTTAAAGGTTAAGAACTGCTTCTTTCAGTACAAATCATAAAAATTTTAATTTACAATATCATCATCACCTATGTAACCAACCAATCAATCAATTAGCCAATCAATTAACCAAATCAATTAACTAATCAATTAATTAACCCAATCATTCAATTAACCCAATCATTCAATTAACCCAATCATTCAATTAACCCAATCATTCAATTAACCCAATCAGTTAACCGATCAATCATTTTAATCAATCAATCAATCAAAAGGCGACATAGTAAACGTCCGTGATTGCGTTTTCATCCGATCCGGAACTAAGAAAAAGGATATCCCGTACATCGCTAAGATTTATGCTCTTTGGGAGGAAGGGAATTCCAGTTAGTATTTATTTATTTAATAATTATTTCTTTAATAATTTATTAATAATTTTCTGTTATCATTATTATTATTGTTGTTATTATTCATTTATTATTATTATTTATTAACTTTATTCACTAAATTATTATTTGTGACTTTGTTCTGTTCCTTTTTTTTATCTTTGTTTGTTAATACACACAACACACAAACAAACAACCAAACACAAGAGGAGGTATATACCCATATACTCAACACACACACATACACATGTACAAAACACACGAGCAAACACACAAACAAACAAACACAGGAGATATGATGATGGGTGTCTTTTGGTACTATCGTAGAGAGCACATAGACTCCGAGTCTATTGCCTCTCGATACCTGGATACGGAGGTGTTCGCCTCGAGACACAGAGACGTCGTGCCTGTAGCCTGTATTGAAGATAAGTGCTATGTGCTGACTTTTAATCAGTACTGCAGGTCTGTTGGCGGTCGCTTGTAGCTGGTTTTGTCGGTGGTTGGTTTGCTAGCGGGCACGGTTGTTGTAGAGGTGTTGTGGTTGGTGTTGTTTCTATTCTGTGGTTTTGTTTATTGTGGCTGTGTGGCTCTTGTAGCTTTTGTTTGGTTGAATATTATGTGTTATAGTTGAAGATGATGACGTTTTTGTAGAAGGAGTTATTATTATGATGATGATGATGATAATGCTAAACGAATGATGATGACAACAGATACAAAGCCATGGTGAACATGGTGGAGGCAGGATCCTCCAGTATGTTACCAGCAAGGATAGTCCCTCCATTACCATATGACGACGCTGAGAGATGTGATAAGATCATCATATCGTCGTCGACACCATCCTTGCCGTCGTTATCCGTTATGACGTCATCGTCGACTTCGTCTTCGTCATCCGCAGTGGTTACCTGTTCATCATCAGTGCTTACATACGCGTCGTCATCGTCAGTGACGTCATCAACATCGTCGTCATCATCATCTACATTTTCATCGTCGTCGTCGTCATCATCTGCAGAAACTACTACAACAACAACAATTTTAACCACGTATCAACCGTCATCATCATCATCATCAACAACAACATCATCATCATCAACAACAACATCATCATCAACATTAACAGATATGTCAACAATGTCATCATCGTCGTCGTCTTCATCTTCACCATTATTTCCATCACCATCATCATCAACAACAACACTGACGACGAAAATAGCTGCAACAGCTCTTCACAACAACAACAACAACAGTAATAATAATAATGATATTAATGATAACTTTGACGACAATGATGATGATAGCGATGATGATAGGCTTATGATAATAACAGACATAGCAGGATTATCATGTGTTACTACCGCTGGCTCTTCCACCACCACCATTACCTCATCTTATGATGATTGTAACAATAATGATGGTAAAACGAGCGACAACAATAACAATAATAACAATAATAATAATAATGGTGGTGGCAGCGTTAGAGAAGTTGTTATTGACTTGGTCGATTTACTGTCTTCAGCAAGCACAACAACGGTGATGACGTCATCATCTGAAGTGACGTCAGCTACGTCATCACCGACAACATCAACTTCATCATCATCATTGTTGTTGTCATCAACTTCATCATCATTGTTGACATCATTTGAAGTAAAATCTACGCTATCAACAACAACCACCATCTCATCAGATACGACGACGACAAACCTAACACGTGCAACAACATCAGCAACGGCAACATTACATACCGTTGCAGCAACAACTAATGAGACATCAGTTCCAACAGCTCCGTCGCCGCAACAAAAACAACAAGACTTATCAGCAAAAGAGAGCAACGAACCGACTCCATCAGCAACAACATCAACTGCATCATACTTTTCACCAGTGACAACTCAGTCGCAGCTGCAAAATTATATCTTGCCATCAGCAGCCCTAGCGACACCGTCGCTACCACCACAGCCACAACAACATTTGTCGCCGGCGACAACGACGACAAGAACGACGACATTAATTGAGTATTTATCTAGAGAGATTGACAAGGACAACATATTTCTATGCAGACATATCTATGACATCAAACTGAAGAGAATCTCGAAAAATCCACACATTGCTGTTACATCAATCAGCAGCGCTTACAACAATAACGTCATCTACAGCAACAGTAACACTAACAACAACATCAACCACATCAACAGTTTCAACAACAACAACAACATCAACAACGTTTATTTAAACAACAATAACGTTAATTTCAGTAACAGTTGTAATGGCATCAATAATAGCAGCTTCAATAGCAGCAGCTGCAATAACAGCAACAGCAACAACAACATCGTTTTTGTCAACAATTACAACAACTTCAACATCAACGACAATCTTGATTATGCTAATTTTGGAGGCTATAGCAGCAGTAGCAGTAAAGATGATACTAACGTCATTGTTCAAATTACTAATGATACTAAGAGCAGTAACAACAACAACAATAACAATAGTAGCGGTGATAATGATGATAATGTTTATAATTGTTTAACTTCAGATGATGGTGAAATTGTAGTAACATTTAATACTGTTCAATGATAACGACGATGATGATGATGGTGATGATGGTCATGGGGATGATGATGATTAACTATGATGACGATGATGATGATGGTGATGATGGTCATGGGGATGATGATGATTAACTATGATGACGATGATGATGATGGTGATGATGATCATGGGGATGATGATGATTAACTATGATGACGATGATCATGATGGTGATGATGATCATGGGGATGATGATGATTAACTATGATGATGATGGTGATAATGATTATTATAGATTATAAAGTTTTTAAAATCGAAATGATGGACATTATGCATTATCTCATTATTGTTGCTAGAGAAACGGGGAATTTATTTTTTAACAAAATGATCTATTATGCAATTATTATTATAATTATTATTATAGTCATAATTAAATTATTGATTGATTGATTAATTAATTAATATATCTGATGATTTTATAATTTTACTGTTTTGAACTAAGCGCGCCTGTTAATAATGATAATAAAAAATAAATAATAATAATATTATTATTGTTAATAAATAATAAGAATTATGTTTCTTCTTATTCTAATTGCTCTGTCTTTTATAATTACTTTGCTACATGTGTCATAATTGAATGAACAACTACTATATATTATGTACATTTTGTATGTTTTTTTTTATGTTTATATGTAAATTTCGCTTACACACACACTATCTCACACATACACGCACACATACACGCACATACACACATACATACACACATACATACATACATCAGTATCAGTATCAAAATTTGTGAAGTGTCTCTCCTGAAAAGACCTCAGAAGCGCTTTCTGTGATGCATAATGTTGAAGTAATGATGCTTTACCGCTTTCTTGAAAAGCTGTCGATTTGTGATGGAACCATCTTTTAACTGCACAGGAAGCGGGTTCCATATTCTTCGTCGTCCAAAGTTTGAGGAACGGAATGACCAAATGCCCACGGTCTGACGACCTAAGTTACTACGTCCATGTCTCTTTGAAACCGGCATCAGTCTCTCACCAACAGGGCGATTTTGAACCTGATATCTCAACCAATGAAGCTCATCACGCATGTAAACCGAAGTAGAGTGAAACTTTGAAACGCCGGCTATCATTCTTACTGCCGCGTTTACTATTGATTGAACACAGTCCTGTTGAAATAAATTGGTTTTATATATTATCGAGATGAAGTCAACTCTACTACAGACAAAACTGCGAACAAGTGATTTTGCTGACTCCAGAGTAGGAAAACGTCTGATAGTTCTGATTCTATGAATTTCAATCAATCAATCTTCGTTTAGCGTCCAGAGACCCAGTTTCCCGAGGTAGGACGCCGTTTTCTTTGCCATCAATTTTTTGCGCCAAATTAGGCGATCAGTTGTATCCATTTCATTTAAATTTAGAGCTTTCATGTCTTGCTCGATTGTTTGCGACCAGGACTTCTTTGGACGGCCTTTATGACGTGTGCCAGGTACTTCAACATCTGCAAGAGAAGTTGTGGCACTGTTTCTACTTCGTTTGACATGACCGAACCACCGCAGACGGTGTTGCCGGCATTCGTCCTTTATATCATCTAAACCAGCACGACGCAGGATTTCGGTAGATTTGATGTGGTCCTTCAGACTAATTCGTTGCATCCATCGGAGTAGTGATTTTATGAATTTGATAGAAACATTTCCGACAGATACTTTTTACATGAACATACATACATACATACATACATACATACATACATACATACATACATACATACATACATACATACATACATACATACATACATACATACATACATACATACATACATACATACATACATACATACATACATACATACATACATACATACATACATACATACATACATACATACATACATACATACATACATACATACATACATACATACATACATACATACATACATACATACATACATACATACATACATACATACATACATACATACATACATACATACATACATACATATATACATACATAAAAACAAACA